GTCGGTGCTTGTGTTGGCACGCAATCATATACTCTGTGTACTGTGTATATACACATACGTGGATTCTCCTCAAAGATATCACATAATCATTGTTACGTACAGAAGCATACCCACACACACATATTGCTATTTCGATCACTTTAAGTTGTTATCTATAAAAAAGGGCTACTTGCTCCTCTTCCTCTGCCCATCTCACTTACGCATTCTCACCACCTACGACCATGTCAATGCTCTCTTCTCACTTTCTATCTCTTCTTCTTCTTCTTCCTCCTCCTCTTCTGCTGCTCATATCCTTCACAACCCCAACGTCTTCCTCCTCCTCCACCCAGGCTTTCATCTATAGCAGTTGCTCTCAGGCTAAGTTCATGCCAGGCTCTGCCTATGAGTCCGCCGTCAGCTCCCTTCTCACTTCCATCGTCAACTGCGCCATGCTCTCCTCCTACAACAACCTCACCGTCCCTTCCTCCTCCTCACAGGACATACCCATCTACGGCCTTTTCCAGTGTCGCGGTGACCTTGCCACTGCCGAATGCTCCCGCTGTGTTGCCCAGGCTGTCTCCCAGCTTGGCACCATCTGCCCCGACTCCACAGGCGGCGCCTTGCAACTCGACGGTTGTTTCGTTATGTATGATGATTCCGAGTTCTTGGGCATCGAGGACAAGACTTTGGTCGTTAAGAAATGCGGGCCTTCCACTGCGTTTACTTCGGATGGGTTGACTCGAAGAGATGCTGTGCTGTCGTATTTGGAGACGTCGGATGGGGTGTACAAGGCGTTTAGAACGACTAGCTTGGGGAATTTGCAGGGTACAGCGCAGTGCGTAGGGGATTTGAGTGCAACCGATTGCCAGGATTGCCTCTCAAATGCGATCGGACGGCTAAGAGAAGAGTGTGGGCCCGCTCAGTGGGGTCGGGTAGGCTTGGCCAAGTGCTACGCGTGCTACTCCGAAGGTGGAGATTACTCGCCCGATGAAAACAGTAAGCGGCTCTGCCACCGTGAATAGTGGTGGTTTTGTTTTTTTTTTTAATACAGTAATATGAATGAAAATAAACAATCAAATCAAATCAAAATATCAAATAAAGCAAGAATGACAGTGCCATTTTTCCAATGAAAGGGCCGCTTGCAGTCACAACACAAAAAGGTAGGTATTTTGGTACAGAGCATCCTCATCATTTGCGATGTCGTCTTTTCCTGATTATTAAGATTAATCATATTTAATCAGTTTGAAATTATCCCTTGTATGATGCGTAATTTTAAATTTGTTATGAACAAAGAAATCTAATTAATTGATATATGAATTGTAATGTGTAGGTAAGCGTAAAAGTAAGAACAGTGATGGACTTCAGAAGACGCAGACAATAATAGTTGGTGTCGTAGCAGTGACGGCTGTGCTCACCCCGTTCATTTCATTCTTGACCAAGGCCATAAAAAGCAAAGTAGTATATTTTTTAACCTTAATTCCCCTTATGTATATTACACCCAATTTTTATCCTTTTTAATTTTCCTAATTAAAAATTTGATTAATCACCTGCAGGGGGAACTGGAGGAGAAAATCCTGGGAATAACAAACCCCTTCCCATAACACTTACGGTTCCGCCAGTTAATTTGGGCCCAACTCGGTTTTGCCCAGGTAGTCCATTGAAATCGCAATCGTGTTCATCGACATGTGAGGAAGAGGCAAGTGATGACAATAGAAACCTTGTATGTATGCGTCACTTGTACTGCCCTTAAATGTTGTATCAATGATGACAATAATATACTTTTTCCGCTATTTAATTAATTTACATAAATAAAAAATAATTAATAAATTGGTTATTTGTTAAAAAAATCTTTTTTTTTTAAAGTACCCCTCCTTTTAATCATACAATTGCTGTTCAACGTTGCAGGGCGATAATTTTATGTAGTTTGAAAAAAAAAAATAGATGAGAAAAACAAAGAAAATTAATATATTATAGTTCAGATCAAAACAAGCTCTTCAATTAACTAGTTTCTATGGTTAAGACCATATAATATATATATGTATATATATATAAAACAAAGTCTATATACACACCTCCATATGATGTTTTTTTTTTTTTAAATAGAGAGGTAGGTACTAATAGCTTGAAGTTACAAGTGGGATAGAATGCACAATCTCCCACTTACAAGAGAGAGTCAGTATCACCAAGTTACAAAACCTTTGACACTCTCATACAGGTTCTAATCTCATTGAGACAAGGTTGTGAGGTTGTTATTATGGCAAGTATTGCATATAACTTTGCAAACAATCTTAGCTTGTAATGAAGAGTATAGCTAGCAATCCGTGAGGTTGGGAGAATAGGTTCCTATCAGTCAACACCAAAAATTGGATAATGTGAGATACCCCAATTATATAAACTTGTAGGGTTCTCATTATTCTCCCTTTCATCTTCCTCCCAATCTGAGTTTTGACACACTCATTCTCGTGACGTACTTAAATGATTAATTTCTTGTATGTAACTAATATAAAAGCAAAAAAATATCTTCTGCTTAATATATCTGCCACCACCAAACAGGTATATTTGGGATAAAAAACGAAAGGTTGAAGAGAAAATGAGGATGGGATAAGTAGTAGAAGGCAACAAAGCCTAAACCCTAACGTTGTCGGGTTGCAGTGCTGTGTGTTGTTGCGGCGGCAATATTAAAAGACCAAAGGAAAAATCCTCACAAAACACATGCACGCGCACGACAATGTAAATTAAATTTTACAACAATTATGTAAACAAACAAACAATCATGCAAAGGTGCCCTCGTTATTGAAGCCTATGAAGTGACTTTCCCGTAATTAATTTAATAAGCACTGTGAATTGTTGGAAGCTTGTTTAATATGAAGTCAATCGTCAACCATTATCATTATACTATGACTTTCCTGTAAGGAGATGGATATTTCGGTCCACATAATGAATAAGAGGTTCTTCCATTGGTAGCCACACGTCCCACCAGACATTACATGTGCTTCCTCCTTTGACAGAGCAACCTACTCCCCTGTAAAATTTGTCCCACACATTTACTTCCAGTTCAGCCAGTTTATTGGATTTGCGAGATGGCTAAGAAATGTTAAAATATTTATCGGAAGATGTGTTCACATTTAGTGTTTAATAATATCTCAAATAAGATTACCTCTAATAAAAAAAATGTATGTGCTTATTAAAAAACATTTGGAAAACTGTGAGAGGCTGAAACTCTAGTGTTTGCAGGATTATGAGAGTCAAGTTCTATACATAGTTACACTAAGAGGCCATTTGGAATCATGATTATAAGTACTTATAAGCATATTTATGTAAGTCAAAACAAAACTCTTCTTATATACTTATTTTATTTTTCTTAAATTATTATCAAATAAATAGCCTATAAGTTGTTTCAAACAGACTTTTTTAAACAGGAATTGCAAGAGGCTGCACATTTTTGTTCAACATGTTGAAAGAAGCGAGAGTTAGTTAGGCGTGATTAGTTAGTTTCCTTTATGATCATATGAATGATGAAAGGCCTTTCACTTCTTCTTTTTCTTCTTCTTCTTTTTTTTTAATAAGCACAAGTATTCTCTTGATAAAAGCAATTTTGTCTAAATTAATGTCGGGTACTAAATATGTGAAAGCAAAATGCAAAAGCCCAGACAATAAGTTGGGCTAGAGCAACATGGGGTACTAACTACTAAGTATGCATTTTTCAGGCTGAGTTTCCAAGTGGCCCAAACCTCTACAAAATTGTTTGTTTTGGTGGAAATTTGGAAGAATAGACAGTTGTATCAAAAAAATTTGAAGAACATTGTACCCAAAAAAAATTGAAGAACAGCTTGACAAGTTTGAACTTATGAATATCAATTTTAAAATATCCGAAAATAATACTCCTTTGGTCGTAAATGTAAGACCATTATACATGTGTATAAGGGTCTTACATTTAGGACTAAAGGAGTATTACTTTATATAATACACGAAATATTTCCCCATCAATTATGAGAAAACCTGATTTCTAAAAAGACAAGATAATAAATTATACGTGATTTTTTTTACCTCGGAATTCTACGTGAATTGTAAATTATATACTCATACATTTTTAATACGTTCAAATTGATAACGAACCATCGCAAATTAAAAATTATTGTTGGGGAAAGTTTCATTATTTTAAGATTCAATACATGATATGTATAAGTAATCTGTAGGTCCTTTTAATTGGTCAAATTATTATAGGAAACTAATATTAATAATTTTACTAATGACGAAACTTGTGTATTGGCTTAACTGTTTTTTTTTTATGGGCCAAGGAGAAGCTTAGATATATTTTTGGGCAAAGTCTGCAGCTTAAATTTTTTGGCCAAACAAATGGATTTGGATTCTCTCTATTTCTTCTCCCATCCTCTTCTTCTTTGCTATCCTCTTTTTCCCTTCACAACTACTGGATCAAAATTCCAATAGTTCAGATTTCACATCTTATAAAAATAATATTATTTTAAAAAAATACATTTAAACTGTTAAAATTTGGTCTAAACAGTTAATAACTGTAATAAAAAAAGTTGAAAAAAATTTGCTCTGAAATAATAATCTGTAGATATGAGCTGTTCAAATTAGATTTTAATAGTTTAAATTTTCTTATCTATTTTTATAATTATATTTATTTTTATAAAATGTTGTAAAATATTAAATTTGAATCATTAAAGTTTTGATACAATGATTGTAAAGAGCCAAAAAAGATAGTGAAGGGAAAGAGGATGGGAGAAGAAGCGAAGAGAATCCAAATTCCAAATAATGAGGCTTAAAATTTATCTGAGCACTACGCGGCTAAAGAAAGGCAACACATGAAATTTGAGTCTCCCACGTGTAGCGGTACGTGTCGTTTCGCTCTTCTGACCTCAGAGAACAACTTGTCTCCTAAGAAAGCCGGCATTTCCTTCTCCCGAACGAAATAAAGAACCAAAAGCGTCGGTCTTTCCCCCGGGAACTGTCATTGCATCGCAGATCTGTCGCACAGAGCAAACATCAGTGTTCCCATGGCGCTCGAATGGGTTATGCTTGGATACGCCGCCGCCGCCGAGGCCATTATGGTGCTCCTCCTCACCGTTCCTGGCCTCGACGGCCTCCGCAAAGGTTTGATCGCCGTCACCCGAAATTTGCTCAAGCCCTTCCTCTCGGTCGTCCCGTTTTGCCTCTTCTTGCTCATGGATATCTACTGGAAGTACGAGACTCGCCCTAGTTGCGAGGCTGACTCCTGCACCCAAACGGAGTACCTCCGACACCACAAGTCCATCGTGAAGAGCCAGCGCAATGCCCTCCTCATTGCCGCCGCTTTGGTCTTCTATTGGCTCCTCTACTCCGTCACCAATCTCGTTGTTAAGATTGAGCAGTTGAATCAGCGGGCGGAGCGCTTGAAGAATCGGGATTGAGTCCTCTCATGATTGGCAATTAGCGAGTCAATCAGGGTTTGGAGCGTATAACTCTCTTTTCGTGTGTTATAATGGATACCATTTCTTTCAATGTGTGTTCTTTTTGCTTGTCCAACATTCTCTTTTTGGTTGATTATCTTGGTTAATGCGATATGTTTGAAACTTCATAAGGGCTTTCTCTGTTGATTCTTATCAATGGATCGTTGATACAGCTTATTCGTCTCAAAATGTGGATTTACCCGCATACATTCTATCTTAGTCGCGGTCCGTTTAATTGTAATGCATGCGTAAAACTCAGCCTTAAGGAAAAACAAATGGTTGCTGAAGAATTTGTGTCTTCTCTCTTTGTCCAGTGGATATGTAAGTTCATCGTGCCTTCGCATTCAGCTGTATGATACTGTTACAGTTAAGACAACTGCCTTGCCAGATGCCTCGTGTAGGTGTTGATCTGAACTGCATCCTTCGATTGTGCCGTACTGTGAGTTATGATATTCTTGAGTTCCAATCTCATTGATATTCTACGTCAATTTTAAATTATATAGTTAGTCCATTGAAATCGCAATCGTATTCATCGACATATGAGGGAGACTTTTGATTATGTCGAAATGAACATGCAACTGATGACAGTAGAAACCTTGTATATATACGTCACTTGTACTGCCCTAAAATGTTGTATCAGTGATATACATCAATATCAATACTAATGTACTTTTTCCGCTATTTAATTAATTTACATAAATTAAAAATAATTAATAAATTGGTTATTTATATAAAAAAAATCTTTCTTTAAATAAAAAACCCCTCCTTTTAATCATACAATTGCCATTCAACTTTGCAGTGCAATAATTTTATGTAGTTTGAAAAAAAAATAGATGAGAAAAACAAAGAAAATTAATATATTGCAGTTAAGATCAAAACAAACTCTTCAATTAACTAGTTTCTATGGTTAAGACCATATAGAATATATACAAATATATACATATGTAACAAAGTTTATACACACACCTCCATATGATTTTTTTTACAAAAAAATTAGAGAGGCAGGTACTAATAGCTTGAAGTTACAAGTGGGATAGAATGCACAATCTCCCACTTATAAGAAAGCGTCGGTATCACTTAAGTTAAAGCCTTTGACACTCCTATATAGGTTTCAATCTCATTGAGTCGAGGTTGTGAGGTTGTTATTATGGCAGGTACTGCATATAACTTTGTAAACAATCTTAGCTTGTGATGAAGAGTATAGCTAGCGATTCGTGAGGTTGGCAGAATAGGTTCCTATCAGTCAACACCAAAAATCAAATAATGCGAGATACCCCAATTATATAAACTTGTAGGGTTCTCATAATTCTCCCTTTCATCTTCCTCCCAGTAATCTGAGTTTTGAAGACAGAGTTTACGAATACTAAGAAGATTTTTAGAGACTTCAGGAACATGGAGGATATCTTTTAATTTGAGAGTGTATTGAGATTGAGGAAGAATAAAATCAGAAGAGCCAGTGCAATGAACTATCAAACCTTTACCATCAGCACTAAAAATTCTATCAACAGACTTACCACTGGACTTGTCCTTGATGTTACGATCATCATGAGTGACATGGCTTGTTGCTCCGGAATCAAGGTACCAATCAGGATTAGCAATGCACTCAGTGGTGGCCATTAACGCTAATTGATCTTTCTTGTGCTGCCTCTTGTCATTGATTCGATAGCTCATCAAATGTTTCATCAAACCTATACCAGCATTCACGAGCCTTATGGCCTTTCTTCTCACAGATCTGACACTGATCAAGAGAACGATTGCTGGATTAAGCGTTAGAAGATGATCCACAGTATTGTGATGAGGGACCACGTCCACGATTATCTCTTCCACCTTATGTACGACCACCTCCTCTGTAAGGAGGCTTGCTATGAGCAAGATTAGCAGACTCAACAATTGATGTCTTAGAATTTTTCTCAATACGAGCTTCTTGAGCAATAAGAAGCGATTCAACTTCATCAACAAAATAAGGATCTAATCGAGTGGTAATGGCAGTAATCCACGCATCATACTCATCAGAGAGACCTTCAAAAATAACCTCAATATGATCAGAATCACTGATCGGATGACCAATATCTACCAATGCATCAGTGATACTCTTAATCTTCAATAGGTAGTCATTTGCAGATAAACTTCCTGTTTTGATGGTTTTGAGTTGCGACTTTAGTTGACAGATCTTTGCTCTGGTTTGAGAAGCAAAGTGTTGTTGAATCTTCTCCCAGATCTGAAGAGACGTCGTGCAACCAACAACTCTGGTAAGCATCACGTCCGACATCGAGCAAGATATCCAGGAGGTGAGCAGCTGATCTTGGTGCTCCCAAGCAGAGTATTCTGGATTCACTTTGAAGGTTTCTAGATCTTTTTCATTTGGAAGATACTTTGCTGTCGGTTTTGCCGTTTTCTCAATGAAAGACTGAAGGTCATCACCTCGAATTGCAGATTGTGATGCTTCTAGATGAGAAAGTTGTTCTCATCGAGCTTCACAGAGACGAGATGCGAGAAGGAGATTACAGGGGTGTTTGGCAACCCTCAAAATCACTTTTAAAAAGTATTTTTTCACAAAACGAGATAAACTCCTCCACATATTTACTTTGTAAACTATAAAAACACTTTTGAAACCATAATTTGATTTTCATCCAAGCACCCCGTACGTATTTCTTAGTGGAGAAATCAGAAGGAGATGAGAGAGTATTGTTCAATGAAGAAGTCATGGTGGTTTGACCGAATGGCTCTAATGCCATAAAGGAAAAGTGGAGAGAGAGAGTGAATAAGACGAAAAGTGAGTGAATGATTTGATGTCTATTGCACTGTGCTGAGAGTTTACATATATAGGTACAGAGGTCAAATGCCTCAACTAAGCCACCTAAGCATTCTAACTAAATCTTTTAAGATACAATAATATTAGTGACATAATAATGATTTATTTAACTACACTATCATGACACACTCATTCTTATTACGTACTTAAATGACGCCAACCTATTTTTAATTTTTTGTATTTAAATAATATAAAAGAAAGAAATATCTTCTGCTTGATATTCTACCACCACCAAACAGGTACATTTGAAAAAAAGCCAAAAGGTTGAAGAGAAATAAGGATGGGATAAGTAGTGGAGGGCAAAAAGGCCTAAACCCTAACGTTGTCGAGTTGTAGTATTGTGTGTTGTTGTTGTGGTGGCACATCGAAAGACCAAGACAAAAATCCTCACAACACGCACACGCACAACACTGTAAATTGAATTTTACAACAATTATGTAAGCAAGGAAACAAACAATCATGCAAAGACGGTGCCTTCATTATTGAAGCCGATGAAGTGACCTTCCCCTAATTAATTCCCCACTTTACTTCCGTTTGCCTTTAATTTCTGTTTTTGTCTTTATTTCTTCACTCTTTTCCTTTTCCTTTGATTCAACTATCAATGCATGCTTGCTTCTCCACCCACCAACCATCTCTCTGTTTGATCACACAGAAACAGGCATCTTAATTACATCGTCATTATTTCTTTTGGAAAAAAATAGTAGCTTCTTTCAAAAGAATTTCTTAATTGGTAGCTCTGGTAGGTAGGGGATAAACATGCATGAAGGAGATAGATGCATATGTATAGTTATAAATATTCATTATTTAGAGATAATAAAAAGACACGACGAGTATGTTGAGACGCGTTTGAAGGAGAGAAAAAGAATCAAAATCTTTTAATTTAATAAACATAGGGTCTAGTCAATTATTGGAAGCTTGTTTGACATGAAGTCACTCGTCAATCATTATCATCATACTATGCTTTCTTCTTCGTTCATTAAAATTTCTCGACTGTTTCGTTTTCATCTAGTGGGAGGGATTATTTCCAATTTAAGTAATTATCAAATAATTACTTCCATAAACAATTTTCTAGTTATATATCGTGATTCAATTATAGTAGAGTACAGTGAGGGATGTGATTGGATTTTAATTAATTAGGAACTAAATTAACACTTATGCAAACCGGCCTCAAGAATGAGACATATGGCCACAATTACTTTTGAACCAAACGCCCAAATAATAATGAATCCCAAACAAACCATTGCTACCATCAAAGAGAGCATCCAATTAGCAAAGTGCAGTGTTCACGTTGCACTATGTGTGTGTGTGTGTGTATTTCTTGATGACTTAATTAAGTCTGATTTTGATTGAAACATACCAAAGCGAGGGACCCAACACGTGCTCTCTACTCTCTTTCCTCTCAATTTTAGTGTTTCAATCTTTCCTCTGCAAGTCATCAACCATACACATCATCTACACTATATATATATATATATATATCATTATACACAGAGAGAGAGAGAGAGAGAGTTGCTGTTAACACCTCGACCAAACTATATTAATTAGGGTTTTGATTATGTCTTTTGAGTCAATTTTCACCACCTTCCCCCCACCAGTTTCTTTTGACTTCACACCATCCTCCCATTACTTCTCAAAACCCACCTCTTCTTAACGTACCTTTAATCAATATTTCTCACATCGTACTTTTCATTTACGTTCTCAAGTCGCGTCCGTATAATGTTTCCATTCAATAATTTTCGGTGCCTCTTACTCAGCCTCTTTCTCTCTCTCTAAATATATATATATATATAAGAAAGCAAAAAGGGAATCACACTCCATATTCCAAGGAATTCGTATCCCTAATGTACATGTAACGAACTATACGTATATCTGTACGTCGGTGCTTGCGTTGGCACGCAATCATATACTCTGTGTACTGTGTATATACACATACGTGGATTCTCCTCAAAGATATCACATAATAATTATTACGTAAGCATACCCACCCACACACATCGCTGTTTCGATCGCCTTAAGTTGTTATATATAAAGAAGGCCTTCCTTCCTCCTCCTCCTCTGTCCATCTCACTCACGCATTCTCACCACCACGCACGACCATGTCAATGCTCTCTTCTCACTTTTCTTCTCGTCTTCTTCTTCTTCTTCTTCTTCCTCTTCTTCTACTCATATCCTTCGCAACCCCAACGTCTTCCTCCTCCTCCACCCAGGCTTTCATCTATAGCAATTGCTCTCAGGCTAAGTTCATGCCAGGCTCTGCCTATGGGTCCACCGTCAGCTCCCTTCTCACTTCCATCGTCAACGGCGCCATGATCTCCTCCTACAACAACCTCACCGTCCCTTCCTCCTCCGCACAAAACACCCCCATCTACGGCCTTTTCCAGTGTCGCGGCGACCTTGCCGCTGCCGAATGCTCCCGCTGTGTTGCCCAGGCTGTCTCCCAGCTTGGCACCATCTGCCCCGACTCCACAGGCGGCGCCTTGCAGCTCGACGGTTGTTTGGTTATGTATGATGATTCCGAGTTCTTCGGCGTCGAGGACAAGACTTTGGTCGTTAAGAAATGCGGGCCTTCCACTACTTTTACTTCGAATGGGTTGACTCGAAGAGATGCTGTGCTGTCGTATTTGGAGACGTCGGATGGGGTGTACAAGGCGTTTAGAACGACTAGCTTGGGGAATTTGCAGGGTATAGCGCAGTGCGTAGGGGATTTGAGTGCAACCGATTGCCAAGATTGCCTCTCAAATGCGATCGGACGGCTAAGAGAAGAGTGTGGAGCCGCTCAGTGGGGTCGGGTAGGCTTGGCCAAGTGCTACGCGTGCTTCTCTGAAGGTGGAGATTACTCGCCCGATGAAAACGGTTAGCGGCTCTGCCACTATGGATGGTGGTGGTTTTGTAATTTTCATTTTAATACAGTGATATGGATGAAAATAAACAATCAAATCAAATCAAAATATCAAATAAAGCAAGAATGATAGTGCCTTCTTTCCAATGAAAGGGCCGCTTGCAGTCACAACATAAAAAGGTAGGTATTTTGGTACAGAGCATCCTCATCATTTGCGACGTCGTCTTTTCCTGATTATTAAGATTAATCATATTTATATTAGTTTGAAATTATCCCTTGTATGATGCGTAATTTTAAATTTGTTGTAAACAAAGAAATCTAATTAATTGATATATGAATTGCAATGTGTAGGTGAGCGTAAAAACAAGAACGGCGATAAATTTCAGAAGACACAGGCAATAATAGTTGGCGTCATAGCAGTGGTGGTTCTGCTCATCATATTCATTTCATTCTTTACCAAGTCGGGCGAAAGCAAAACGGTATACTCGCTCCGTGTTTTTAATAAACAATATTGTAGTTTATATCAAAATATTAGTTAAAATTAGTTAAAGACAATAAATGTGTAGAAATTAAAAAAAATTTCTCCAAAATGCTCTTATTTGTGGGGGGAAAGAGTATAAGAGAGAGAATAAGAAAATCATTATAATAAAGAGAATTATGGAAAAGAGAGAATGTGTGTTAGAGAGATGATGGTTTGGAAAATAAAATAATAAATATTTTGAGTATTAAGATAAGTAATTAATGAGGACAAAATAGGAAATTTGCTACAAATATTTAAAACAACCTATAAATATTGCTTATATTTAGAGACAAGAGGGAGACGATAGTTTTTGCTTATAAAATGAGATGGAGGAAGTATTTTTTAACCTTAATTTTCCTTATATATATTGCACCCAATTTATCCTTTTTAATTTTCCTAATTAAGAATTTGATTAATCACTTGCAGGTGGTAAATAAAGAACAAATTCATGTGGAAAATAAAGAAGAAATTCATGTGGAAAACAAGTATATTCTCGTAATAATTCCAGTTCGGCTAATTTATTGGATTTGGCAGAAGGTTTAGTCCCTCGTAACATGGCTAACAAAGGTTAAAATCTTCATTGGAAGATGTGTCCATATCTAGTGTTTGATAATATCTCAAGCAAGATTGTCTTTAATAAAAAAACGTATGTTCTTATTAAAAAACTATTTGGAAAACTATAAGAGGCTAAAGCTCTATTGGCTACAAGAGTATAAGAGAGTCAAGTTCTATACATAGTTATATTAAGAGGCCATTTGGAATCACAATTATAAGTACTTATAAGTATGTTTTTGTAAGTTAAGACAAAACTCTTTTTATATAATTATCTTATTTTCTTAAATTATAATTAAAAAAATAATTTATAAGTTGTTCCAAATAGACTTTTCAAGGGGAAAATGCAACAGGCTGCACATTTTCATACAATGTGTTGAAAGAAGCGAGAGAGTTAGTTAGACATGATTAGTTAGTTTCTTTTATGATCACATGAATGATGAAAGGCCTTTCACTTTTTTTTTGGTAAGTACAGATACCCTTTTGATAGAGATAATTTTATTCAAGTCATTGTTGGGTACTAAATATATAAAAGTAAAAAGCAAAAGTCCAAGCAATAAGTTGGGCCGAATTCGATTTATGAGCATGCACTCTTCACGCTGAGTTTCCAAGTGGGCCCAGTCCTCTACAAAGATATGTTTTTTAGTGGAAACTTTGAAGAATAGATAGTTGTATCAAAAACAGTTTGAAGAATTACCAAGAGAAAAAAAACAATTTGAAGAACAGCCTGACAAGTTTAAACATATGAATATCAATTTTAAAATATCCAAAAATAATATTATTTTATATAATACAGGAAACATTTCCTTATTAATTATGAGAAAACCTGATTTCGAAGAAGACAAGATAATAAACAACGAGGATTGGATTTAATTAAAAAACTAGTTTCTTATAATGTGACTAATGGAAGTTAAAATTTTTGTCAGAAGAGGTACTCATATTTAGTGCCTGATAATACTTTGAATAGGATTATTTTCAATAGAAAGATATATATGCTTATGAAAAAAAGATTTGGAAAAATGTGAGGGGTAGAAGCTTGGTGGCGACAAGAGTATGGAGTCAATTTTTGTACATAGTTACATTAATAGGTCCTGTGGAATCATAATCATAAGCACTTATAAATATGTTTAACATAAGTAAAGAGAAAATTCTTCTTATGTCATTTTTGGTAAATTATGATTAAGAAATAAAAAAATGATAAAAAAAAGAAGTTGAAAATTATTGAATGTCAAATAAGAAATGCCAATAAAAATTTGTTGTCATTTACAAATTTAGTGTTGTTAATAGCAAATAAAGTGTTACTAAACCTGATTTGGGATTTAATAATTTTCAGATTTTTTTATTATTTTCGTTTAAAAAATTGCTTACATGTCATTTGGGTCCTTTTCAACAGAAAATACAGCAGGCCGCACTTTTTTGTTCAATATGGTGAAAGAAACGAGAGGGTTAGGCGTGATTAGTTAATTACTTTTATGATCTTATGAACGATGAAAGGCCTGTCACTTCCAAAATGGTTCATGAAAGGAAAAATGCAAAAGCCCAAGCAATAAGTTGGGCTGAGTTTCCGAGTGGGTCCAATCCTCTCCAAAGATATACTACCTCCGGTCCTTAATATAAGACACTGTTTGACTTTTATTTTGATCCTAAATATAAGACTATAATCCACTTTGTCTCTCATATTTATGCATCCTTTTTCAAGATAATCCTTCTAATAATTGTAGTCCTAGCCAATATAGTTTATTAGTAAGGATATTTTAGGAAAGGTAATACCTATTTATTACAAATAACTAACTTAACTTCTTTCCTTAATTTTCTCAAATTAATCAACGGGGTTTTATAATTAGGACCGGAGGTAATACTTTATAGTGGAGATTTTTAAGAACAGCTTGACAATTTAAACGCATGAATACCAATTTTAAAATATCTGAAAATAATATCATGTTATATAATAAGCGAAACATTTCCTTATTAATTAGGTACAAAACACAGACACACACGAAAAGTGCAAGTATTTGTTAGGACCAGACTGTGATTACTTAATGACTGCTTTTAGACTTCGGTGTTTAGCTAAAAATCATCATTTCTGCCAATGTCTTGATTTTAATGAGGCCTAGAATCTGATTCACCAAAAACGTTTTCTTTGTTTCAGGCCAAAAAATAATAATAATAATAAAACGTTTCTTTGTTTGTTTGAAAAAAGCACGCTAATTAAGGAACAATCACACACAACACAGCGACCACGAAAGAGAACTTTCCTTTGATAGTCTCGCCGCTCGAGGTCATATCTCTGCCTCTCATTTCGTGTGTCTGCTCGGCGTGTTCATCTAGAGAATTATTACTACTTCATATCCTGCACGTAAATAAACTATAAATAAAATTTTATAATTAGAAGTAAGTAGTATAAAAAAAAATTATAATGAGGTCTCACTTAAAAGAATTAAATACAAAAAAGTTCTTTGAAATCATCAAATTAATATGAAGTTCCAAGAGAGATTGTTAGATATTCCATTTGTTTAATTACTAATTTGTCTTTATTTTTTTAAATATGTATTGATAACTGAAAGAGTGGTCGTTAACAACTTAAAATGTAATGATTAACAACTATTGTGACAGGTATTAACAATAAATTTTTTCAATGTATCACAAAAATATAATACATAAGTTGTCAATACCTGCCACGATAGTTGTTAATCATTATACTTTAAGTTGTTAACAACTACTCTTTCAGTTATAAATATACATTTTAAAAAAAAGACAAGGATAAGTTAATAATTAAACAAGTAAAATATCTTAGAACGAGGTCTCTTGAAATTTCAGAATAATTTGATAATTTCAAAAGACTTTTTGTATTTAAGGTGGGACCTTATGGCAATTTTTTTTTTATAAAATGGTACTATCTATATTTACTACGCATGCGTCTTTACATTCATTATCTTATTTATTCTTGGGACTATTAAACGGATTTAGGTATGATTTTACGGACTTATATTCCGTAACGAATTCTATTTTCTAAGAATTTCATGTCTGTTGGGCTTATTACCAAAGTGCTATTATTTTTTCATTCATTCCAATCCTTATTATAGATATGTTTAGTATATTTCATAATATAATATACTTTATTTAAACTACCATAATTTTTTTCACATAGTATCACTATCTACCTAATGACTTATTAAAGTAAATTCGATATTTTACAAACTCATAATTGTTTGCGAAAAATAATCATCGTGTATATCAATACAAAAATATGAAACACTAAAAAAAATGAAATCAAATAACAATTGGAGTTAATTCATAAAACAATCTTTGGCACCAAAAAAAATTGTAAAACAATCATGCTCATAAATAGATAGATAGATAGAAACACATCAGTTGGCCTCACGTTTCTCTCTTGCCTATGTGAATGGAGTATTTGGAGCCAACAACATGTTCCTTCACTATAAATATGCCCACTCTTTCTTCTCTTCCCTCACAAATCACTTCCCTCCCTAATCTCTCTCACTCATCTCAGCCAATCGGCCATGGCTTCCATTGAAAGTAACAATCAAGAGGGTATCTTTACTTCTCTTCTTTGACTTGGCAATACTTTAATTACTCCATTTTCACCTTCAAATTGATACTCCTGCAGGTTTTCATGCAGCAGTATCAGATTCAATTTCTGAGCCCCACCAAAACTTTCTGCAAAAGCACGCTTACTTCTTCGACAGGAACCAAGACGGCGTCTTCTACTCCTGGGAGACTTTCCGAGGTGTATATATTTCCATTGTTTTCTCTGAAACCAAACAAGAATTTGTAGACGGAGGAACATTCACTAACAGTTATCGTATTGAATCTTCTGATTGCAGGGCTTCGTGCAATTGCTTGCGGCATCTTCTTGTCTTCTGCATTTTCACTTTTCCTCCATTTGGCTCTCAGTCAGAAAACTCGCCCCGTAACTTTCTCTATCTTTTCTTTTCTAGCATAGTTCTCAACGTGGTTGTATTTGAATAGAAGGAGATGTTGATGTCGGTAAGTGACAATCAAGCGGGCATCTTATTGATGAATGGTGCGGGGAAAATGTCCTTCTCTGTTTTTACCAATTGGAGTTAGAAATGTCCAAGGAGGCAAACATGGGAGCGACTCCGGTGTTTATGATTCTCAAAGAAGGTTCGTGTGAGTTGTTCTTCTAAACATTTATTCTTTTTGATAATTTTCAAGTTATCTACTCACATGATGAAGTGGTTTATAAGTTCGAAAGATTCTATCATCTAATACGCTAATCTTTTAAATTTGTGCTTGCAATGTTAGTGCTTTCATTGGAAGTGTTGAAGGCAGAGTGTATTGTTACAAGTCTCATATTGAGAAATGTCAGAAGAGAAATGAGGCAAATTTATGAAGCTCGACCACCATACGCTAATTTTTTGAGATGTTCTCTTCCCTTGCTCGTAATATTGATGCAATATTTTCTATTTAGGACATGATCAATATGTACATAAAGTGATAGCTATGATTCTTTACTCTGTTTATTTGGACAGCATTTCTCATTCAATCGCCAATCTTGTTTACATATGTACGTATATACCACCCAAATGCTTTAACATCGGATGAAGTGTCGGCCATGTTCAAGGCAAACAAAGATCCTAAGGATTACTGTGGATGGTAATGACTCATCATTAATCAATTAACCTTTTTGTCATTTACTACAGGGTTGGTAGCTATGTAGAGTGGACACTTCTGCATTATCTGTGCAAAGACAGGAATGGTTTGCTACGCAAAGAAACAGTGATAGTTGTTTATGATGGTACCTTGTTTCATCAAATGAAAAAGGACCACTCTTCCAACACTACCCTCTAATTTTACAGATTCTTTCATCAAAACTAATATATGTACATGAATTGTTGAATAATTGTGTTGGGTTTCATTTGGATCATTAGCATCCTCAATTAATGATTTTGTAATTTAGTGACTTGAAAGTTTATGAATAAATGGATAGTTAGTGATTGTACCTTTTTTTTTTTCTTTTTGAAAAAAAAAAGTCGTCGGTCCTTATTTGAGAACAATTAGTGGGCTGGATTCCGGTGTAGGCCCAACTTGGTTTTCCATAGTTAGTCCATTGAAATCGCAATCATATTCATCGACATATGAGAGAGGCTTTGGACTATGTGGAAATGAACATGCAATTGATGACAATAGAAACCTTGTTTATATCCGTCACTTGTACTGCCCTAAAATGTTGTACCAATGATATACATCAATATCAATACTAATATACTTTTTCCGCTAGTTAATTAATCTACATAAATTAAAAATAATTAATAAATTAGTTATTTGCACCAAAAATCTTTTTTTTTAAAAAGAAACCCTCCTTTTAATCATACAATTGCCATTCAACTTTGCAGTACAATAATTTTATTATTGGGGTAGTTTGAAAAAATAATAGATGAGAAAAACAAAGAAAATTAATATATTATAGTTAAGATCAAAACAAACTCTTCAATTAATTGGTTTCTATAGTTAAGACCATATAGAATATATATATATATATATATATATATATAAACAAAGTCGATGCACACACCTCCATATGATTTTTTTTTTTTAAATTAAAGAGGCCAGTCCTAATAGTTTGAAGTTACAAGTGGATAGAATGCGCAATTTCTCACTTATAGGAGAGCGTCAATATCACTAAGTTACAAAGCCTTTGACTCTCCCACAGATTCTAGTCTCATTGAATCGAGGTTGTTATTATGGCAAGTACTGCACATCACTTTGTAAACAATCTTAGCTTGTAATGAAACGTATAGCTAGCGATTTGTGATGTTGGGAGAAGAGGTTCCTATCAGTCAACACCAAAAATGGGACAATGTGAGATACCCCAATTATATAAACTTGTAGGGTTCTCATTATTCTCCCTTTCATCTTCCTCCCAATCTGGGTTTTGACACACTCATTCTTATTACGTACTTAAATGATTAATTTTTTGTATGTAAATAATATCAAAGAAAGAAATATCTTCTACTTGCATATCTACCACCACAAAACAGGTATATTTGGGGGGAAAAAAAACGAAAGGTTGAAGAGAAAATAAGGATGGGATAAGTAGTAAAGGGCAAAAAAACGTAAACCCTAACGTGCATGTCGATCGGGTGGTAGTGTTGTGTGTTGTTGTGGTGGCAACATCAAAGGCCCATGTGTTGTTGTGGTGGCAACATCAAAAGACCCAAGACAAAAATCCTCGCACCCCACACACACTCAACAATGTAAATTAAATTTTACAACAATTATGTAAACAAACAAACAATCATGCAAAGGTGCCCTCGTCATTTAATATGAAGTCAATCGTCAACCATTATCATTATACTATGACTTTCCTGTAAGGAGATGGATGTTTCGGTCCACATAATGAATAAGAGGTTCTTCCATTGGTAGCCACACGTCCCACCAGACATTACATGTGCTCCCCTCTTTCACAGAGCAACCTACTCCCTTGTAAAATTTGTCCCACACATTTGCTATCCTCAGCCAAACTCTGGAAGCATTTTGTTTTTCACAAGCCATCGGGTACCCAGAAGAATTTCCACACCCATACTTACCTTTAAGGTATTGTACCCATAGAGCATTTGGTTTTGTGAGGGCCCCCCAACGAAATTTCATGATAAAGGCTGTGTTTTGAGTGTGCAAGTCCTTAATACCGAGTCCCCCATCTAACTTGGTCCCACCTAATTAGGTGTAGTTTCCTCCCTTCTATGCCTTGGCTCCAAAAGAAATCTCGACATATCTTCTCAATTTCTTTTAAGACCCCTTTTGGCATAAGTAAAGTTTGCATCTGATAGCTAGGGAGGGCTGAGAGTACTATTCTAATCAACACTGTTATGCTTGAATTCTCTTCAAAGACATCATATAATCATTATTACGTACAGAAGCATACCCACACACACATATTGCTATTTCGATCATAAGTGTTATCTATAAAAAAGGCCTACTTGCTCCTCTTCCTCTGCCCATCTCACTCACGCATTCTCACCACCACGCACGACCATGTCAATGCTCTCTTCTCACTTTCCTTCTCTTCTTCTTCTTCTTCCTCCTCTTCTGCTACTCATATCCTTCGCAACCCCAACGTCCTCCTCCTCCTCCTCCTCCTCCTCCACCCAGGCTTTCGTCTATAGCAGTTGCTCTCAGGCTAAGTTCATGCCGGGCTCTGCCTATGGGTCTGCCGTCAGCTCCCTTCTCACTTCCATCGTCAACGGCGCCATGATCTCCTCCTACAACAACCTCACCGTCCCTTCCTCCTCCGCACAAAACACCCCCATCTACGGCCTTTTCCAGTGTCGCGGTGACCTTGCCGCTGCCGAATGCTCCCGCTGTGTTGCCCAGGCTGTCTCCCAGCTTGGCACCATCTGCCCCGACTCCACAGGCGGCGCCTTGCAGCTCGACGGTTGTTTCGTTATGTATGATGATTCCGAGTTCTTGGGCGTCGAGGACAAGACTTTGGTCGTTAAGAAATGTGGGCCTTCCACTGCGTTTACTTCGGATGGGTTGACTCGAAGAGATGCTGTGCTGTCGTATTTGGAGACGTCCGATGGGGTGTACAAGGCATTTAGAACGACTAGCTTGGGGAATTTGCAGGGTATAGCGCAGTGCGTAGGGGATTTGAGTGCGACCGATTGCCAGGATTGCCTCTCAAATGCGATCGGACGGCTAAGAGAAGAGTGTGGGCCCGCTCAGTGGGGTCGGGTAGGCTTGGCCAAGTGCTATGCGTGCTACTCCGAAGGTGGAGATTACTCGCCGATGAAAACGGTAAGCGGCTCGCCACCATGAATAGTGGTGGTTTTGTATTTTTTTTAATACAGTAATATGGATGAAAATAAACAATCAAATCAAATCAAAATATCAAATAAAGCAAGAATGATAGTGCCATTTTTCCAATGAAAGGGCCGCTTGCAGTCACAACACAAAAAGGTAGGTATTTTGGTACAGAGCATCCTCATCATTTGCGACGTCGTCTTTTCCTAATTATTAAGATTAATCATATTTAATCAGTTTGAAATTATCCCTTGTATGATGCGTAATTTTAAATTTGTTATGAACAAAGAAATCTAATTAATTGATATATGAATTGTAATGTGTAGGTAAGCGTAAAAGCAAAAACGATGATGGACTTCAGAAGATGCAGACAATAATATTTGGCGTCGCAATAGTGGTGGCTCTGCTCATCATATTGATTTTATTATTGACCAAGCCGAGCCAAAGCAATTTCTCAATTCCAAACTGGAGTGATCTGCTGTCGTCGCTGCTGTCGTGGCTGCTGCCGTGGCTGCAGCAGCAGCAGGTGGTAAATCAAGAAGAAAATCCTGAGGATAACAACCCCCTTGCACAAGAATGTTAAAATCTTTACCGGAAGATGTGTCCACTCTAGTGTTGATAATATCTCAAATAAGATTACCTCCAATAAAAAAATATATGTGCTTATTAAAAAACATTTGGAAAACTGTGAGAGGCTGAAGGTTTAGTGTTTGCAAGATTATGAGAGTCAAGTTCTATACATGGTTATATTAAGAGGCCATTTGGAATCGTGATTATAAGTACTTATAAACATGTTTACTTAAATCAAGATAAAACTCTTCTCATATACTTATATTATTTTTCTTAAATTATTATCAAATAATACTCCTCCGGTCCTTAATATAGGACCCAATTGTTGAATTAGTTTTGATCCTAAATATAAGACCCATTTCTCATATTTA